GTCTGTCCGTCTGTCCGTCTGTCCGTCTGTCCGTCTGTCCGTCTGTCCATCCGTTCGTCTGACCGTCCATCTGTTCGTCTGTCCGTCTGTGTCCCTCCGTCTGTGTCCCTCCGTCTGTGTCCCTCCGTCTGTGTCCCTCCGTCTGTCTGTCCGTCCGTCCGTCTTTAAACACTATTAGTACCTAAGCAATAAATGCGATTATTTCGTCTTTTTTAAAAAAAAATATTAGTTTTCGCGCAATATTGCGTGCAATATTTGCAATTTTAAAAAATTACAAAAACAATTTTTCTCAAACCCTGCACCAATTTGTTTCTTTAAACTTTAGGTAGGGATAGTACCAAATGCTACAAGATGACAAAAACATAATATTTTTCAATTTATTTCAAAGATTACAAAAATATACTTCTCTCACGTCGTTAGTGTTTACATTTCGACAATTTGCTCACATTAATTTATTTATGAGCACATGTGCATAAAATAATATCAAATAAACATTCTCGAAATTCAACTGTTTTCTATGAAAATTACCTGAAAATTCTGCATTTTGAGAAACAATTAAACTCTGTCTCAAAAATGGTTCCAAATTGTTTCTTCAATATTTTTCAACGAATAATGCTATTTGCACTGTTTAAGATAACATAGAATTCATTTTGTTGCATTTTTTGTTGTAAAAAATACACTAATGTATTTTTTACATATCTTTCACAACTTTAATCTGCACATTTCCAGCTTTTTGTAATCATTATTGCATTTGTAACTGGATGTGCTTAAAATGACTTCATACTTTTATGAATTTGTTTCGAAAACTTTATAGTTTTCTGTGAAAAGAGGCTCAATTTACAGCAGCACTTAAACGCTATTTCCCTAAAAACGGCTCCAAAATGTTCAAAGAAAATTGCCATTTAGACGAGATTTTACCGTTTCTTAGTATTCTTAAAGTAATATTTCCGTTCTACTATTAGGAAACCGAAAAAGTAAGAAAATTTCAAAAATTGTACTTTGGACGGCGATAGATGGCAGCTGGCAAGAGTATGTGGCAAGTCCAAATAGCTCGCAGAGACCAAAGAAAATAGAAAACGAATACGAAAAAGTCTGTGCTATTCTCTAGCACCACTAGTTTTTTACTTGAAATAATTTTTGTTTTTGCATTACTCGTCTTTTATTATTGCAAGAAGTCCACATGTTTACTCCCACAATGTTTTACCATCATATCGGATATCGTTCTTTTCTTGATTGCGGGAAGATGTCATAGGTCGACCTATTGCAAAAAGTTTAGCAACATTTTTCATATTAAAGAAAAGAGTAACGCATCTATAAAATCTTAAAGAGTCACGGGGGAATCTTTTTATGGATAAACTGGTAAATTATATTGGAATTTACCATAGATTTATGTTAACCATCCTCGTAGAAAGAAGGAAGTAGCATTTCATATCCTTTATCGGGGTGAAGTACATGCCAACAAGCCTGTCGTAATGGTCAAAACATCCCAAGTAAATACTGTAATTTATTATAAGAGACTGTGGGATCACTTTTCATTGCCCTACGTTGGAACGAGCGATGTTGTCAACATTTCTGCCTACTAGTGTAACACATTTATTGTCGTGCCATTTTACAAAGAAGGACCATCCTGTTCTCATCCAGAGGTTAATCATAGGAACCTCTATTTGGTTTCTTTCTTTTGTTGCAAGTCGTGGGTAAAGACAATTTTCAGGGTCCCTTTCAGTTAATGCTTGTTATGCTTGGCATTTGCCTAAAACCATGCCCCACGGTCTATTAATAAATAACTTGCTTTCGCTCCTATTGGCCTGAGTGTTGCCTTAGAAGTATAAACACAACATCAAAAAAGTCAGCTTTGTGAATCAGAAACGAAAGCTGACATCAATGTAAATAGAACAGTTGCTGTACAATAAGTATGCAACCTTCAGAATGCCATAACAGTTGTGTGGATGATTACTGAAGATTTTTTTCTCGCATTCAAAACGAATTTAATTAAAAACAAGTATTATTTTCGATATTAAAAATGTTCAAATTATAAATTAAATCAATTCTAAAAGAGGGTCAGAAAGAAAGAATATAACTTCTGATCAGTAAATAGATTGCTGGGTGTTAGTGGGTTAATACAGGATTTGCACTTAGGATCCGGTTTGATTACTTAATCGGCTCTACGAATAAAGAAGTGTATGTTTGCGAAATTGTTAGCCAAACTTTCACTTACGACACACTTTTGTAATACACAGCCCACCTTTTTGCATGTTCGTTGCGAAAGAACATACTAATAGAATACTACAGAATGTCCGTCATTATATGTGCAAAAGAACGCCTTTCCATATCTCAACTAGTCATTTAGTATATACTACCTCAATGAAGTGGGATGTTAAGGATGCGGTTAGTGATGTCATTGCCAAGCAATTAAGGGTGAATCACAATTTATTTACTAATAAACGAATGTGATTATGCGCTTTGGGAAATAATTCCGCTGTCCCTGCGGTGTCGCTGACTGGGAGATACTTGAGTTTGAGTCCCGACGGCGGCAGATTTTTGCAGGTCGAATTTCCATGACAATCGACACTGTCTGGAGAAGGTATCACGCACGGACGCGCTGTTGTTATTGATACATTCTGTTTTCTCGAATCAATAGCACTCAAATGCAGGAGAAGCCTGCACAAAAGAACCCTAGATCGCTTGCTATCTTTCCTTGTCTGCATAACCTTGTCCCCGTCTTTCCTTCTCTCTCTCTCTCTCTCTCTCTCTCTCTCTCTCTCTCTCTCTCTCTCTCTCTCTCGCTCTCTCTTTCGCTCTCTCTCTCGCTCTCTCTCTCGCTCTCTCTTTCTCTCTGTCTCTCTGTGTCTCTGTCTCTCTGTCTCTCTCTGTCTCTCTCTTTCTCTCTCTTTCTCTCCCTCTCTCAAACACACACACACACACACACATGCACCACGCTGTCACACATGTCGAGTGTTCGACACGAGTTCATAGTTTAAAACTTGCCCGGCCGAAGCGGTGCCCCGCCAGGGAGATAACTGTAGGGGGCCTGTAGGGGGCCTGTAACTTTGCCAGTTGGCATGTAGGTCGGCGCCTGTTCTCACTTTCCAGTGAGGGAGGAACACTGCCACCTCGTAGGCTGTAACATGCATCTATGTTGTGGGACTGTAGGAGTTGACGCGTGCGGAAACCACAAACCAACCAAGTACATAGAAAGATTACTTGATTATATTTTATTTCGTTTCCAGGCACGTCAACTACTAAGGTTATTAGTCTCCAGAGTTCATGCTTGAATTGGGAGGTGGTGAACTTCCACTGCTGAATGAAGAGATCTGGTGCTGACCTACACATTGGCTAGCGAGGTTTTCCCCAACCAGGCATCTCCCACCAGCGGAGTACCTACTCAGCCAAGACAAGCTCCCTACTGATCTCTCCACAGGAGTGATTGTGTAGTGCTTGTATGTGTAAGGGGTGACGATAGGACAAGGAATAGGAAGGAAAGATCGCCCTCGGTCCGTGGCCCGTTTTTTAGGGTACTTCTCTGGCACTGGCCTAGCGTTGTACGGAGAAACCACGGACAACTACCGACCGCAACCACCGGCCGCTAGATATCTCCTTCAGACAGCAGTTGAATTCGGTGTAGCTACGTAACTCTTGTCAAAAATTCTGCCACTATTTGAACCCTCCGGCCAGACATACTGCAGTGATATTAGTTGATGCCCTCAGCCACCTAATCCGAAAGAAAGAATGTAATGTATTCTTACTATATCCACAGACTTCATTCAAATAAAATTATCATGATATACCACTGAGCATATCTTTCAAAAATCACAATTCGTATATTCACATTCGTATATTTACAACTTCACAGCAGGAGCCTGTAAACGGGAAGGGTTTACTTCTAATCAAAGGCAAATAAACATTGAATGTGTGGGCGTATTTTTCATCTCGTTCTAATTAACATTACGCTTTCTTCCCCAAAGTGTCAAGAAAATATTTACAACTTGTCTACTCACGCAATTTATTAGCGGCAACGCCATTAACGCTGCAGCTGACGGCGACCACCAGCAGAATCAGCAGGTCCGGCCGCATCTTGCAAGGAAAACGCGATGCTCACGGATGAAGTGGCGACTGAGCCTCAAGGTCGGCGAGCGGTCCCCCTTATAAGCGTGGCCAGGGCACAGACCTTGTCCCCCCCCGTCGCCCGCAGCACAAGGCAGCACGGAGTGCACTACGGCCCCGCGGTGAAACCCAGCGGTTCACAGGGCCACGGGACCGAGGGAGCGTGATAGACGCAAACGGGTGCGTTAGCTGATATCCTGGACGTGATTGTAACAATAACAAGTGCAACCAGCCTAGTCACCGCATTAAACTACATTGAACGACACGAGTCTACAAGGACGATTTTTTTTTGTTGGAAATCTTGTGAATGTTCCCACTAGAAGTGGGATACTACGGGACTACTTCATTTGGATACGTTTTCTTTGTTTCTGTTAACAATGTAGTGACTACAGTCCTGGCAGTTGTCCTCTCAAAGTTTTTTTAGACATTCTCCTTTTGCTCATGTCTTCTGAGATTAGTGTGTACTTTCATGAGATCGACAACCTGGACAACGATTTTTAAGAAAAAAATGGAATAAATATTCCTATTCCGAGCAACGATTCCGAGAGCTGTCGAAAAGATGCACGGACGTCACTTACGGTTTAGACTATTTTTTTCCGTTAAAAAATAAATCAGTAGCACCAAGTGAGTCGGCCTTGTAGAGAGAGGGATTTGTGGCCAATGAGCCCAAGGTGGCCATGAAGACTATGGCTTCGAAACCCACGTACGGCACAAACATTCACTTCTCACGTTCGTGGCGACGGGGGAATAATGGGCGGGGGAATTCCCAGATCCTCGTGTAAGGTCTGAATCAGATAGTCGACTCAGCTCACTCAGTGTCTGTAATTGAGGAAATGGATCCCTACTTGCAGAACTATGATACATCGTCGAAATGAAACGAGATATCATACGCATATTTTATTTTTATAAATTTTTTATTAACACAATCACAGTAAATGCAACAAGTGTTAGATCTAATATAAATACTAACAAATTTTGTGATACATTTGGCCATCGTCAGATATCATTAACGTTCATTTCAGGAATTATGGTAAATCACAGTTCAGAAAGTCAGTAAGTTTTTTTTTCTTTTTTATTCTTATTTTCCCTATAGAACCGAGGAATTTTGATGCTTCAAAGTTTTTCTGACTTAGTACACGTCGCTGTTGTATTACTGCATATTCTTTATTTACTTCTTCTACTTTTTCTATGTTCAAGTGACTATATAGTCGACCCATTTGCATATAAATACGTTAATCGACCGCATTGCACAGTATATTATTTTGAATTTTCTATAAGATAGAAAGATAAAGATGAGCAGTATATATATATATATATATATATATATATATATATATATATATATATATATTCTGCTCATCTCACTGTCACTTTTCTGGGACAACCCCAAAGCAGTAGAGCACTTGCGGGTATATTAGTAATTTATTATAAACGGACAACTGCGATTCTCTTTCCCATAACTGGTACATTTTGTTGGTTTTCAAATGACGAATAAAAAAAAATAACCGTGATAGGTCTATGTACCAAACGGAGAGAACGAAGATTGCTCCAGTAAAAAGCAAAAGGTGCTGCGAGAGTAGGTATCCTAGAAAAAAAACTCAAAATATTGGAGCCGTTTCTGAGAAAAGCTTGTTTCTAAAACTGCCTTTATTTTATGTAAATTCCGCAAAAATTACTCATATTCATTAAAACATTATATGTGACCTCATTTAAAGATCCATTTGTGAATAATTGATATCATTACTGAAATGAACTTCAATATTGTAGTTGTAGGAAGGTGCCGAAAACATTTTAATGTTTCGCTGAATTCAGAAAATTGCAATAGCTTTTTTACTTTCTCGCCTATTGCTTATGTAATGCAGAGAAAGTTTTTTTAATGCTGCGGCAGAAATGGCGATTTTTCGATATAAAAACACACATGCACATGGGCATACAATGCACACACGTGCATGCATGCACACACGTGCATGCATGCATACATGCACATCGGCCGACAATACTTTCACATCAACTTTAAACTCGCGCGGGTAATATCGTCTCGGGAAGTTCTCATGGAATTAAAGATGATTACTGTACACGAATGCGAACCTTTTACGCACTTTGGTTTCATTGTCAATCTAGGATATGATTCTGAGTTCATGGTCGTAATAAGAGTTATTGCGCCCACTGTTAACAACAATCAGTTTCGTAATGTAACATTAGAGCAAGTCCAAGGCTTTCTATTAATTTCTATCATTGTCATTTCGTCTCCTTTCGATATGGTCACTGATAGTTCATGGAATAGTTTAAAAAGTGAATAGAAATCAAATTTCAAATATTAATTATGCAAATGCCACTCACTGTACTTACAAACTTACCACCTTACTTAAAGATGCTCGTAATTTCCCGCGGTTGAAATGGCTAACTGTAGGTAAACAAAATTACGTATGTCTGTGGTAAATTGCTTTTTCCGCTTGCGCCATTTGACGGTCATAATATGAAAACGAACTATAACAATTACATCGTTTATTTCAGAAACCCATCAAACTCCAAAATCAAAAATACGCATTCGCGGCGGATTATTTGTTCCAAGAGGATAGACACTTTGTATTTTGCATATTTAAATGAAAATTATTCATTTCTCAGCTGCTTTAATCCCTAAAAATATTTTGAAATAAGAAAAATTGGGAGGCTTTTTGTCAGTTTTCTCGAAATGAGGAATTTGGCGTTTGACGTGTTTCTGAAATAAATGATTCATTATTGTGGTTTATGTTCCTAGAACTATTTTAAATTGCCTTCCTTATATTATCTCCTGCACTGCACTGGCTTTCTCTGTTTTGAAGAAAATCCAGCCGAAGCCGCGTGACCTCTTACAACTCAGGCCTCCCCGCCCCCACGCTCTACGAGAGACACAAAAAACGAGAGACACGAAATTTCATTCTCCGCTTTCCAACGAAGTCTCGTTGAGAAAGGTCAGTACGTTAAATATAAGTGTACGATATTTAAGGTTTAATCTCATGCTTCGCTTTAAAACCTGTTCTGGCGTCATTCAGGAGCGTTGAATGAAACGAATTTCGAGCGGTTTAGTACGCTTTATTTAGAGTTTATAATCTGCTTGAGAGTACAGTTTTATCACCAGGAGATCGTAACATTTAATTAAAGTTGTTGATTAAAGCTTACGTTTTTATTTCTCAAGAGGATGCTATCTCACTAATGGAAAGTAACATTGCTTATCAGATGCATGGTTGATTTCAATTTAAAGAAAAAAAATGTATAATTTTGTCAAATCTAAAATCATCAATACCATTGCCAACTTTATCTTGTAATGAGGGTTTTCTTTTACTTATTATAATGTTTCTGAGTTACTGGAAGAGATTAATTTCATTAGAGTGCGTTATGCTTTAAAATCTTGCAAGTTACTCTACTCTACCATGTCATACAGTAAATTTGGAACTTAGGTAACGTCTTACGACTGTGATCCATGCTCTAACAGAGAGCTGTGAAAGTGCTATCTCATAACTCTTGATTTCATCTTCACGTTTTCATATTTCATTAATATGCATGTTTTCAGCAATACGTAAACAGTATTGCATTTGTGACTGGTAGTGCTTGAAGTGACAAATTTACAGTAGTGTTTAAATGCCATTGTCTTAATAGCGGCTCCAAATTTTTCAATGCAAATTGCCATTTGTGACGAGATTTTACTGTTTTTTTAATATTTTTAAAATAATAATTCGATTCTACTATTAGAAAGCCGAAACATTAAGAAAATCTCAAAAAATGTACTTTGGGTGCCGATAGATGGCAGCTGGTAAGAGTATGTGAAGACCGAATAGCTAGCCGAGACCAATGCAAATAGAAAACTAATACGGGATAGTCTGTGCCATTCTGTAGTACCACTAGTTTGTGTTTACGAAGGTAAGTTTAAAAATGATTTGAGAAAATAATAATCATATTTACACTCCCCCTCATGCATAGTAGCAAATCTTAGCTATTTGTTGCGTGCATGATTGAGTTTATTTACAGAGTGGTATTAAAAAAATTTTGGTTATTTACAGAGTGGTAAAAATTGTTAATTATTTTACTTATATTATTTACTATATTTAATATAATACTATAATTATATTAGTATAATTAATGAACTCCTCTTGCTGAAGTACATCAACTTGTGTTGCTTTTTCAATGCATTCATTTAATTTCTCATCCATTTTCTTTCGTAGCGGATACACAAATGTATTTTTTTAAATATCTCTCACGCCTTTAATAAGTAAATTTCCAGCGATATCTAAAAACCATTGCATTTGCGTTTGGAAGTGTTTGAAATGACATTATATTAACTTTTTCGGAAGCTCAATAGTTTTCTGTGAAAAGAGATTCAAATTTCGCTTTTACAGTAGCGCTTAAACACCACTTCTTTTTATAAAAATCAGCTCCAAATTTTTCAAATAAAATTGCTATTAAGGCGGGGTTTTTTTTTTTTTTTGATATTCTTAAAATAATATTTTCGGACTACTATGAAAAAAGAACGAAAAATTAAGAAAATAAAAAAATGTACTTGGGTGGTGATAGATGACAGCTGGCAAGAGAATTTGGCAAGTCAGAATAGCAAGCCGAAACCAAAAGAAATTTCTTGCTACTGATTAGGCAGTTGTGGAAAAGTTATGTAATGGTGCGTGAATAACGACGAATTGTCCGCAGAAAAATTATCTTATTACAGAACACTGGTATCCAGCATGTGGATAAATCCTTGTAATAAATTTAGGGAGGGATATCCTCTAACACGTGATGTGGCCAAAAATCCTTGTTTTGTGGGTCCTTGATACCGAAAAATCGGATGACGGCAAAACCTGTCTATCCATCCGTCCGTGAATAACCGTGACGGTTAAACCGTTCAGCATATTTTCTCCAAAATTCATATTCACATTCGATCTGATTGATGTCACGTCCCTTTGAATTAGAAACTGATATTTTAATTTTGGAAGGTACTTTACATGGAGCCGCTAGGACATGTTTCAAATTTTTAAAAAAGTACTCCAT